TCTAGCAGCCCTTCTGATGAAAGTCATGGGATTTTAAAACAGATGAAGTGCTAATTCAGTACTAAACAAGCGTTTAGAAAAGCCCCCCAAAACTGCCCTCTTATTTTAACCAGTTGAAACGTATCACCTATTATGAAACAAAACGTCCCAGAAGGGACTGCAAGAAGTTGCTAAAACCATTCCCAGTTCCAAGGTAGGTTAAAAGTATACCTAAGCTATTTCTAACAAATCCAATCTGCTCTTAAAAGATTTGCTGAATGTGCATCCTGTGTTAGCAACTGAATTTTGAACAAGTCTCAGCCAGGTCTAAATGTTCCATACTCAGCCAGGTCTAAATGTGCCGTAAATATCGGCATAAGAGGCTTAAGCTAAATGTTACTGCCTTATATATTCTGTGTGGAAAGAGCATTCAGTGGGACAACTGTGCCTCAGTGTTGATCTGATTGCATGTCTTTGCTAACACAAAAATGATCTTCTGCCCCTATGGAATGCGTCTAATCAGGAAACAGTGATTTTAAAGTGAAATGTGGCTTATGTGAAAGATTGATGGCTTTTTGAAAAGCAAGGATATTAGGGTGCTTTCCTATTCAGGAAATTTCGAAAAGTAACTAAATTCGGACCTAGCAGCTTCCCCTAATGCTTGACAGAGTCTTCAGGGAAATATTCCTTACTTGTAGGTGAATGGTCTAGTTGAAGGAAATACTGTTAGGTCAGGATTTGCTGTATTTTGTTTGTTCTGTTTAGAGATCCAAAAATCTCATTGTTTAAGTGAAAGCTACTATTATATTGAAATACAATATAAAATAAATAGAGGTTCATTTTGGGTATAAAACCCAGGATATTTGCATTCCTGTAAGACTTGAAGAAACAGCGACATTTAAATATGTTGATCTGTCTTCTTTCGTTAAAGTTGGGTAAATATGTCAGAAAGTATGAATGTATTGAAGTCCCTTTCAATAACACTGTGACTATTTGAATAATGTTTACTTGACCTTCTGGAGCACAGATCGTCATGGTGATTACTGCCTTATTTAGTTCTGTGGAGGTAAGTCTGATTGTTAAATAAAACTGAGCAGTTGATAAAGATGGAAGGATGTAAATATTTTCCCAGCCATTCTTTCAAATACGTATTATTATGAAGTTTGCTGTCTGTATCCAGGGCACTTGATTTTTTTTCCTTTCATTTTGTGGTTATCTTTGTTTTCTGGGAGATTTAAAAGTTACATGTATTCAAAGTTGCTCAGTTTTGTTTTGTGGCTCATTTACACACATGACAATCTTAAATACCTGAATTTTGATTTTCTATAAAAGTGCCATAATGTTGCCCAGAGATTCTCATGCTTTGGTGGCCAAAATTTTATAACTTAAACAGTGCCAGTGCTGAACTCACTCGTTGAAGAGCCCAGCTTAGGCCTGAAATCACATTCAGTAGTTCATCTTAAGCAAGTCACTTTTCCTGCATATTGGCTAGCTATATGGACTGAAACACAGTAAGGAGTACAATGGACAACTTCCTCAGTGGTTCACTGCATGAATTATTGAGCCATCGTGTCTTCCAGGATTCCCACTGAAGCCCAGCTTAAGGAACTGCTGAATAGTGATTTTAATGAAGTGAGTAGAAAGTTTTGAGTGAAATGTTACAGATTGTCATCTGATGTTAGCTGTAATCTATGCTGTTTGCATAACTTTCCAAAGCTGCTTGGCTTTTGCTTTCTTTGCGACTGTTAACTGTTTGTAGTTATACGATGCTAAAGATTTTGTTTGAAGCTTCTAAAATGAAGATCAAAATATACATCCAAGTATTTATGGTCTGTTGACCTTGGCTGGCTGGCTACCAGACACCCACCCAGCTGCGCTCTCACTCCCCATCCTCAACAGCTCAGGGGGAGGAAATAGGGTGAAAGAGCTCATAAGTTGAGATAAAGCCAGGGAGATCACTTGCCAACTACAGTCATAGGCAAAAGACTCGACTTGAGAAAAATTAATTTAATTTATTGCCAATTAAAACAAATTTGGATAGTGAGAAACAGAAAACCTAGAAATTAAACCAGCATTTTCCCCTCAGCCCTTTTTTCCCAGGCTCGGCTTCACTCCTTCATTCTTCTTCTACCTCCTCCACCCTGGGCGGTGCAGAAGGGTGGGGAATGGGGTAGGGGACAGTCCATAACAGTTCCTCTCTGCTGCTACTTCTTCCTCACACTGTTCCCCTGCTCCAGCGTGGGCTGTCCTCATGTGCTGCAGTCTTTCAGGAAAACATTTTGTTTCGTATGGGCTCTCTATCAGCTGCTGTTCCTGTCGGGAAATACCTGTCTGCTTCACTGTGGTCCTCTCCATGGGCTGCAGGGTAATATGTGCTCCAGCACCTGGAGCAGCTCTTCCTCCCCCTTCTTCTTTTCTGACCTTGGTGTTCACAGGCTGTTTCCTCCTCAGTCCTCACTGCTGGGCAGCTGTTTGCCCTTTTGAAGTATGTTTTCCCAGAGGGGCCACCAGCGTGGATGCTGGGCTCAGCTGTGCCCTGTGGTGAGTCTGCTAGAGCTGAGTGGAACTGGTTGTGTCCAGTATGGGGCAGCCCTGGCCTCTTCTTGCAGAGGCCACCCTGCAGCCTCTCCGCTCGCAAACCCTGCCGCATACACCCAGTGCAGCATCTAAAACAAATCCCTAAAATAAACATTTCTCTGGTATCTAGGCTGTCTTTTACTCACATTAGCGTTTATTCCATTTGAAATAGTAGATGCATAGCAGACCTTCTTCTGTACAAAGATTAAGTGGTAAGTTTTGTTCTTATTCATACCAGTCTACATCCATGGGTTTCTTAGACATGTCCTACTTACCTTGCTAGATTCAAAGTATGACGGCTTGAGTTAGTCATAATTTGGCCTTTACTGCATGTGCAGTACCATTCAGTTCCATGGGAATGGTTGTTTAAAAAGACTTTGAAAAGTCTTTTTTGTTACTGAGTCAGAAGAAATAAATAAAGGAAAAGGACTTTCAGGCCAACTATTATCTACGTTATGAATAGTATGGACAAGAATAAGAACACCACTTGGTTAACAAGGGAGGGAAAGCACACTTAATAAACAGAGTACTGAAATAAAGATTTCTACTGTGCTGTTGAATGCTGATATTCCTTATTTTCTGTATTTTGTTGTTCTAACATTAGAAATAGAGAAAAGGACATGACATTTGTGATAGTAGGTGCAGTAGGATAGCAAAAGTGGTGCCTAGGAAAAGAAACTTATGTTCTACTTGTTAGTCTTCCTGAAAAAGTTAGGAAATTCTAACTTCAAGCACATCTAACTAGGATTTAATAATACAGTCACTACTCCTTAAAATATTAAAATGCTTGGAAATCTTTTCCCAGTGGATGTTACCAGGGTAGGGAAACAGAGATAATGATGGTCAAAAAGGTCTTGTATGTGAACATCCCTTGTTTTTTTTTCATGAGAGAAAGATGGATTCTGCTAGAAATACTTTGTTGTGTTCAATGGTGTCATTGCAATGTCTCTGGGATAACACTTCTTCAGTTGTCAGAGCCTTGCTATTGTCAGAAAGGTATTATTTGATTTGTGTCTACAAAATGAATCTTGTTATTTTAGGCTACCCAAGTGTCTCTTTTGGTCCACTTCTGGACTTTGTTATTAAGAGTAGCTCTCATGTAAGGGAATTGGATCGATCCTTTTCACTTGGCTGCTGTCTTCTGAGGTCATAGGCCTCTCTCCTGAAGTCTATGCAGAGAGCAAATGAAAACCACCTCTTCTTATGATATGTCCACATTGTGTGTCCACAGTTTAGCCTAAATCATTGTACTAAAGCTTTTCCTTAGCCATAAGAAAAATAATCATACATAGCAGATGAAAGAAAAGATTTAGAAAATATGATGCTTTGTTCACTTGTGTGCATGATGATGTGTTGTTTAATAGTTTTTCACAGTGCGTTAGTAAACTTAAACAGGAAGAAACAATAATCCAGAGGACTCTGAATGTTGCTTGGGAATACAGCATTAACAAATGGAGCAGTGGATAACAAGAGAATTCACTCAAGATATTTAACATTTACATGTGTTTGCTTGAAGTGACTGCTGGAATATACTCCTATGTACTGTAGGGACAACGTAACACTCGACAGGAAACATCTGCTTTAGTATGCTCCAACATCAACAGGATTGTGGCAGTATGTCTCCAAACTTCAGTTCTCTGGCGATATGTACCCTTAGGTTGGTATTCTTTTTCTTGTGAGGAATGCGAAGCTGTGTACCCTGTTCAACAAACTATTCTTTTTTCATATCCTTGTATTCTGATTTATCTGATATCTGCATAACAGGAAAGGAAATGAAAAACTGAGGTGTTAGCTAATGGTCTACAAAATGGGAATCACAAGAGTGAGTAAAAATTGTTTCTGTAGGAATTACAAAGCTGGGTGGGTGTGGAAAATAGCAGTGAAGTTGGTATGGGAAAAGAGGGTGGTTGAGAGAATACTATTGTGGCTGGCGTTGTCTGGTACCTTGTACATTGTTCACAAGCCCTGGTCCTCATGGGGGATTTTAACCACCCTGATATCAGTTGGAATAACAACACGGCGGGGAAAAAGCAATCCAGGGGATTCCTGGCATGCATTAACGATAGCTTCCTTATCCAAGTGATAGAGGAACCAACGAGGAGAGGTGCCATGTTAGACC